GTGTTAATCATTAAATTTGTAGAATTTGACAACAAAAAAGTTGAAAAATAATTTTTTAAGGGAAAATATCTTGTTAATTGGCGTTTATATGTATGCGTGCCGGTCATTGAAAGCATCAGAAATGCAGCTATTTTTCTAAAAATTTTATTTTTCATTTTTTTTTTTTTGAATCTTATTTAGACAAATGTAATGTTTCTTGTACAGACAAGTGATCAAAAAAATTTTTTTTTTTATTTATTTATTTATTTTTGTTGGTAGTTTGATATATAGTTTGTTGCCTTGTTAAATGCACAAATGATATGAATATTTCCATTTAGAGGTTTTATAAAATAATTATTTGAACTATTGCGTTGTTTGTTGAAAATTCGTTTTTAGAGTATTTTTCATAAAAATTACATACATATATATACATATGTACGTATCATTTTTAAACAAAGATATTTATTATTTGTTATAATGAATGATAAAATAACAAAAAATTATAATAAATTTTATTTATATATTCGTTAGACAGACATTTTGCAATCCTTAAGGGTATCTGTGTACCAGCATAAACTAATCCGACATTTATGTGGATTTTCTTAATAAGCGAAATTAGGCTTGAACTATTTCTGGATTGTGAAAAGTCTAGAGAATGGGTCATTCAAAGTACAGTAACGAACAGTTTTTTTATTATTTTAAAAACGAAAAACTACATTTGAGTATTTAAACAAACTAAAAAAAAATTTATTTTATTGCAAAAGAAAAATTACTTAAAAGTCTGTGTTCCTTACATAACTCATACGCTCCGTCAAACTTATCTATATGTTATATTGTATATTGTAAAAGAGGCTTTGTCCCGAATGACTGTGGGATAAACTCACCGCCTAATCGATTGGTAGTAACTTAGAGAGTGTATTCTGCATATGCATTGGAGAAGAAACGATTTTCTGGGATATGGACCTGGGACTGGTCAAATCGAAAAAATTAAATTTATTTTTAAATCGCTCGATTTTTATGAAAGTTGCTTAAATTAATATATGAAGCATTTCTTCTACTGAAAAGTGTACTTGGTGCCGATCTATTTGAAAAATGTTTCATTAGTAGTATTCCTGGTATCGGGTTTGCTTGATATGTTGAATATGACAATGCATGGATAATTTTTTTCAGGAGCTTGTTTTTTATTTAACATAAAAAGCACTTGCGAGCCAAGCGAAGAAAGAACTGAACAAGATTAATTGGAGTATTAATTCTGTTCTTAGTAATATCAACAGCTTTTATAGGTTATGTACTTCCATGAGGCAAAATAACATTTCGACGATCTACCGTTATTACTAATTTATTATCAACCATTCCATATTAAGGGATTGATTTAGTTCAAGGAGTTTGAGAAACAAATAATATGAAGCCGCAGACAAAAAAAATGCATTTTGATTCTTAAATCCATTCTAAAACTATACAAGAATATGTCTTGAAAATTCAGTGGTAGAGTGGACGTATTTTAGAAACTAGAGCAGTTTTAGCGGCCGAGTGTTGAGTAGGCTCGAATGCGCGGGCAGAACTTTGAAGAGCGTTTTCTCGAGTTTTCTTTTATACAAGTCAAAGATGCCGATGATAGCAAAAAGAATATTTGGCCGATGGAAAAAATTAAAGTAATCGAGCTTCAGTATTAAATTATCTTCCATTTGAACGAAAAAAAATTGAACAAAAGTTTTATTCAAACCATTTTTTTTTGCAACTTGAAATAAATTTTAAATCTCTGTTTTAAAAGAAAGGTAAATTTCTATACTACTAAGCTAGAATTTTCCAACTTCTTCGGCATTTTTTTAGTGCATATAGAAAAGAAACTCATAATAAAAAAAAAGAGAAAAATTGGTTCGACTTCAGATGCATCCCACGACCTCCATCACCGGCACTGTTTCAAGAGTTTAAACTGCACCCGCTGCAGAAAACTCGTCACCACTTTGGAAAGTTCCAATATTTTTTCATACTAAAAATTGTTTTTTGAAGCTTAAATATAGTATATTATTGCTTAAACATATAGTTTACCGCAATAGTTTCATAACCTTTCAAAAAATTACATGTTATGCGGGTTCTAATGGAGGCCATTGCCTTACAAATAGGTGCACGTTTTTGTTGTTACTTTATGATACTCACACCATATTTAATAAAACTTAGGCAAGGTTTCCTAAATTTGAAGAAGCTGCAAAGGCATATCTTATATGTGTATATACAAATATTTTACATCTGTGTTTGTGGCTAAACGCCTTTCAAACACCATAACCGGTTTGGATAAAATTGCATTTTTGATTTCCAAACAACTTGGGAATAATTAAATTTATAATTCACTATTGCCAAGCCGATTGTGGCGACAATTGTGTTTGAGTAACCTCAAGCATTATTTGTATTTACAAAAATATTATTTGCCAACAGTTCAAAAGTTAAATCTGAAACCCTCGAAAAGCAGATGCCAGAAATTCCAAAATGCTTTGAGTGGCTGCCGGCGGGAGCATCGAGGAACCCTTGATGGAGATTTACGTAGAAATGTTTTGAATCAAATATACAAAAAAAAAAAAAAAATTGAAATCAATAAAAACTTATGAAATACAACAAATAATTGAATCATTGATAAAATAAAAGATATTTTTTAGGATTACTCATTTTTTCAATATTCGTTTTTTTTAATAAATAAAGGTCGGTCAAACATCAAGCGCCGTATAATAAAATATACATTAAATTAATTTTCAGTAGAAGAAATGCTTCACATATTAATTTAGGCAACTTTTGAACTTTTGAATTCGATTTTTTCGATTTGACCTGTCGCAGGTCCACATCCCAGAAAATCGTTTCTTCTCCGATGCATATGCAGAACACACTCTCTTAGTTACTACCAATCGCTTAGGCGGTGAGTTGATTCCACAGTCATTCGGGACAAAGCCTCTTTTACAATATACAATATAACATATAGATAAGTATGAGTTATATGAGGAACACAGACTTTTAAGTAATTTTTCTTTTGCAATAAAATTAATTATTTTTTTGTTTATATACTCAAATGCCGTTTTTCGTTTTTAAAATAATAAAAAACTGTTCATTACTGTACTTTGAATGACCCATTCTCTAGACTTTTGACAATCCAGAAATAGTTCAAGCCTAATTTCGCTTATTAAGAAAATCCACATAAATGTCGGATTAGTTTATGCTGGTACACAGATACCCTTAAGGATTGCAAAATTAATTAAAAAAAAGCAAGAGCTGGGTTTCTGATGGTAAGCTGGCTTAGCATTTTTTAATTGTGTCTCTTATTAATTCTGCTACCGGTTAAAAAGGAAGACTTTTTATTAAACTACTCAGTGATAGCCGGCTGAGCCCTGGAAATACTGCTGACCGCTGGTTTTTGCAGAGGCTTGATCCACTGTTTAGTAAGGATCAATCACAAAAAAGACGAAATTATTGACGAGCTTTTTCGGAAAGCAGTGCCCAAAGCAGAATTCATAAAGCATGCGAACACAAATTTAGACAGTTTCATCGCTGCTAGAAGTAGTCCGATGAGGAGAAGTCTCCGAAGCAGCTGTCACTACAACAATTTGACCTTGTTGTACATATAACAAAATATTCAATACGCCAAAAGCAAAAAGCTTTGAATTAAAGCTCTTCATATATATCAGTATATATATATATATATATATATATATCTATAGTAATTTAATTTGCGGGACACAGGGCGTATGAGTAATATATTCAACAAAATAAAAAAAAAAATAAAAAAAAATAAATAAAACATAAAAAATAAGAAAATAGCTTACCAAACCCTTTCTGTTAAACCATTTTCTTACATACATATACATATTTACACCTCAAATAGGATTTGTTTTTTTTTTTTTTGTTAATTTCTTGCTTTTCAAATATTTATATTTTTTGGCCCAAGTATTCAAGCAGGGATTTATGTTTATCTGCCTGTCGAATGGAATGCTATTATTTTGGTAACTTGGGGTTGGAGTGACAGTACAAGTGAAATATTAAACTTTACCTTTGTTATGTTATTTATTTATAGCTATTTTGAAATAAATTTGGTTATTATTTTTGAGGTCAAATGACAATGAGCGCAAACTTGACTTTTCTGTTTTGTGTGAAAATATTGTATATTATTATTTTTGTTTAGTTGTTTTCTGTATCTGCATACGTATATGCGAGACATTTTATTTCTTCTTTTCAATATACACAATATTGACATTTATTATGGCTTAGCTGCATTTTACATATTTTAGTTTTTTTTTTTTCTTCTAAAATTTTGATTATTCACAACTGCGAGTGGGGCACAAATTATATTTGCTCTGGTCATAGTGTTTGCCTTGTTTCGAAGTACAGCGCGTACACTGCATGTGTATGCAGAATGCTAGTGTATAAGTATCTTTTTGTATGCACATACATATAGTAAATAAATGACTATCAAAGTAATGTTTGTATGTGTGTGTGCGTGTTCTCATGTTTTTCATTTTTCATTTTTTGTGCACTGTGTGTATTTGTTATTGCATTTTGGGTGCGTATTTGTATAAATATATATGTATGTGTGTGTGTGTGTGTGTTTGTTTTATTAAAAGTCTTCACGCATTTGTATTTTGTTTTTATATTTTTTCTTTTGGCATTTCATTAACATCGTTTCGTTTTTCTTTGCATTTTTTCTTTAATTTATTTTTTCTTTATTCATTTCATTAGTTTGAATTCTAGCTTGTTTTTAATTAGTAGCCCCACACCTGTTAGAAGTAAAAAGAGAGAGAAAAAAAGAAGAAGCACACAAATTATTATTCAACACTTTGTTAGACACATAATATTGAATTTGGCTTTTTTTTTGTGTTAGAATATTAGTGAAAATATTTATTAGATAACAAAACAGCAGCGAAATTTTTAATTTCAAAATAGATTATTTTTGTTTTTATGATTACTAAAGCCAATTAAGTAAATTTCGTTACACAAATAATTTAATGCGTGTTAAAATTTAGTAAATATTTTGCATCACTTACCGGCAAACCGGCCTTGCCTGAGGGACCAACTGGTCCAGAATCGCCACGCATGCCCATTGGACCCTGTTGAAAGTATGAAATTATTTTAGTTTAATTGAATTATTCAATATTTTTAGTTTTAAATATTGTATATCTTCTTCCACTGGCCACTGCCTAAGACAAAAGTGTGAACTTCTGCTCGAACAAAGCCTTATGGAATTAACTCAACCTTGAAAGGCTGTTCTTTTGCAAGGAGCTTTTTTTAATTGACCTCATTTGGCAGCTGATTTAATGCTGGAACCTGACAGTTAGCATTTTCATCCTTTTTCAGCTAGATTTAGTGTTTTTACGCTCTTTAGTCAGCAAAAGAATTCCGTTTAAATTTGTCTTTCTTCAGTTTTTTTTTACAAAAAAAAAAAAGTTTAGTCGTTCTTAGCTCTGTTTAAATTGGTGAAATCTCACATTTTTTTAACTACTAGTCATAAGTTTGAACTAAGTATCAGATTTTTGATTGGTAAGTGTAACAATTTGTTCGGGGTGATATTCGTTGCGAAACTGGTTTTTGCACTAAACTTGAGTTTTCGTTCCTATAAAAACTGCCTGTGAAATTTGAAAACTCACACTTCATTCAATCCGCCTTTGGCCGAGCTTCTACTCTAACTTGTAGTTTTGGGGCTTGATGTTTTTTCAACAAATGGAGGGGCTTACAGTTTATACTAAGCCGTCTCCGAATGGCTGAGAGCTTTTTATGAGGAGCCCTTATTTCATGTCAGAAATACACATATAACTTGATTTTTTATTTAAATTAATTTTGTATAACTTTTGGATGTTGGTCATACTAAGATTTGAACCCTGGTCTTCCGAATGGCAGTACACAGCGCTAATCATTTGGCTACCGTCTTGTATGTAAGCTAAATTGTCCTTCTAAAGTCAATACTTGTATGTTCACCCACAAAACTTGTTTCGATACCAGTCTGAATATAGTAAAGGGGTTTCCAATAAGAGGTGTTATTTTTAATAGTCTGCCATTTCGGTGGATGCCACCTTTTAAGCTGTAATATTTTGGCATTTTACAAGTCAAAAATATTCACTAAAACATTATAGATCGTCCTGAAGCACCATATCGGATCGGAATATAGAAATTAGTGTAAAAACTGGAGCTGTTGGGACAAGTTAGTGATGTGAAGGATAAATCACGTGCACCGAACTCAAGAACAACTGATAAAAAATTGAAAAAAATTCCACATACGTTGTTACCGCACAGAGACTTGGATCTTAGGCGTTATAAAGTTCAGTTAAAAGAAGAACTCAAGCCGACCGATCATCAAAAACATCGTTTCGTTACTCATAGGGTCCTTGAAATTTGTGAAAATGATGCGGATATTCATGAAAAACTGATCTTGAGGCATATTTCCACCTCCAGGGCTACGTTAATATGCAAAAGAGTCGCATCTGTGGATCGGAAAACCCAAGATTTATTGATGAAAAGCCTCTCCATCCTCAACGTGAAACTGAGGCTGGAGCCACAGTTATGGTGAATGGATTACGCTAATTTAACACCTCCATTCGTCAGATAGGAAGGAATGAGAAAATGTAACAATTCTGGATTAAAGATCCACACTCATCATCACGGACGGTTCAAAACTCGATGGCAGAGTGGGCTGCGGAAATCGATCCGAACCAGTTGCAAGCGACTTGGGCAAGAGACCTTCCAATCACTGCATTCTCTTTTCAGCTAAACTAACTGCAAAAATGAATCCTGCTTCAGGGCAACTCAACTCTAATACAGTATCTAAGCCACTAATAATATATTCCGACGGGTCAAGGTGCCAATAAATTTCTACAATGCAATCACATCACCTCAAGATTTAGGGAAATCTTAAATAAACTATCGGCTGTATGCGAACTGGCTGTGGTTCGGGTCTTCAGCTATAGCAACATCGCAGGAAATTGCGTAACTGACGAGCTAGCAAGGCATGGTACAATTCTAGCCTCGGTAAACTCTGCACGCCAAGCGGGTATCATACCTCTTTCGTCTGCAAAATTCCTTCTAAGATCAGCCTTTACCACCAAGGGCAAAAACAGACGGCAGGGTGAAACCACATGCCATGTGACTAGGTAGATCTGGCCATTGATCCGTACGAAAACCTTCTAAACAGAACCGCCACGAGCATAACAACTGGCGTAATTACCGACCACTGTTTGTTGGGGACCCACGATAGAAGAATGGGCTACTTCTCTAATGGCTTCTGTCAGGGCTGCAGAGACATGGACGGAAAGGAGTCTTTAGATCACTTCTTCTGGCCCTAAGTGCGGCCCGAGATTGCTTCATAAGTAACTTCTATTTTGACAGCCTTACAGGTATAACATCAGCAAGTGCCAAGAATCTTATGTGTTTCATTAAGCAAACCAAGAGACTTCAGCATTTAGAGAGGTGAAAGGAAGATCTTCTATAGATCTCCCCCAAAGGTATTACAACGGGACAACAGGCCAATTAGCGCTCGATTGAACAACCTTAGCAACGTACTGATTAACTATTTGTAAATATTATTACTAGTAACTATATAGTTTTCTACTTACCGGTAAACCCATTGGCCCTTGGTCGCCTTTTTGTCCTTTCTCACCCTGAAAAATATTGAGGTTGGGTGATTATGATGATATATTTTTTTTTTTGTTATGATTTAAAGTGTCCTTCTTGAAAACTTACCGAATCTCCTTTGAGACCATCCAAGCCACGTTCGCCATGCTTACCCGGCTGACCGGGAGGACCCATAGGGCCCGGTGGTCCAGGTGGGCCATAAAGCTAATACAGGAAAAATATTTTTCAATTAAATTAAATAAAATTAAATAAATGGATGTATTTTTTTAACAATTCCAATGAACTTACATATTCAATTGTTGGCATGTGTGGCTGATCCGACATGCCTTCATCTTGTCGCCGACGCATTTTTCTATACTTCTAGTGGAAATGTGTGATCAGTATATAGCTTTATATATTTGAAAATAAGCCATTTTCATTCATGGTAAATATATACTCACTGAATCGCCACGATCCCCTTTGTCGCCTTTTACACCGGGATAACCTGGTGGACCAGGCAGGCCGGGTGGACCCATCAGACCGGGCGGCCCAATATCGCCACGATCTCCCTTCTCACCAGGTGGGCCCTGATAACCGGGCAGACCAGGTGGTCCTTCAATGCCAGGCTCGCCAGGCAGACCGTCCAAGCCACGTGGCCCCAATGAACCAGGTTCGCCAGGCTCACCCGCATCACCCTTAGAGCCATCACGTCCGTCACGACCATCTTTGCCCGGCATGCCCGGTGGGCCTGGTGGTCCGCGCAATAATTGTACCGGTGGGTCATCGTAATCTTCATCTTTAGCGCCGCCAGGACCGAAAATCTAGCCATAAAATTGCATTTGGTAATATCAATGTTTGTTGTGTTTGAGCGCGATGCAGCAACGACGAGAGCAGCGTGTGAATAAAAAAAAATATTTTTATCAAGTGGCAACTCAGGGCATGTTTGACATTTGAAGGCGCGGTTAAGCGTTATGAAGTGCTGTGCTGTGCAGAAAGCGCGCGTGTTCATGTGCACTTTCAAGTATATATGTATTGTATATTCATACCATAAGTGCTGTTGTGTGTGTTTGTGTTAGACAGCGCGTAAGCCGGTGAAGCTTACAGCTACATACTTACATAAGTGCTTACCTATGCACTTTTACTGTTATTTTGTGTCTATGTAGTAGCAACATTTCATTTGGTATTAATGCTTTCTATTTTAATAACTTTTCCATTTTCGCATTTTAATTTAGGAGAAAGCATATTAACACTACAACACAATAAAAAACCAACACCTACGAACACTACCAAACGTACTTAACTATCAACTACGAACATAATAATAAACGTATAAATATTAAAACGGTGAATATCAAGTTTACAAACATACCTTACTTACCAATTTGAATTGTCTGTGAGAGAGCTTAACTGATTTAAGCTACTCAGGTGTATGCGTATGTGCGCGTGTGTGTGTGTGTGTGTGTATGTTTGTTCCATCATACCACAATCTACAAAAGTGTGCATTTGTATGCGTGTGTGCGTAAATAAGTTGCAACCAACCGCAGTTATCCTCAGCTTATTTACTAACATACAAATTTACTTTACTTATAAAAAAAAAATTCTTTAGCATGATGCACTCTGTGGAGCAATCTACACTGCTCAAGTTGATGGTAACATCAAAGACTCTGTGTGCAATCAGTCGACGCAATGAATATGAAATCCGAAGCTTTATTTCAAATAAAAGGTCTAAAAGTTAGGTGAAATCACATAAAGTAATGTTTGCTAGCATCACAATAAATGAATTAACGAGAATCGAAAAATATTTAAAGTTTTTTTCCCTAAATGTCTTTAAATCAAGGCTTCACCTTAAATTAGAAATTTCAATCGATTCGGTTGAAACATTTGGGAATTTTATCGTTGAAGCAGTTCTCAAAATAAATTTTACTACGTTTTTACACGAAGCGAAAAGCTTTCGTTAATACTAACTTGTTAACAGATAATGTTAAACTCTTAACAGCTAATGTTAAATCGTTAACCGATAATTTTATATGTTAGCAGATAATGTTAAATCGTTAACAGACAATGTTAAACGTTAACAGATAATTTTAAACGTTAACAGTTAATGTTAAACGTTAACAGATAATGTTAAATCGTTAAGAGATAATGTTAAACGTTAACAGCAAATGTTAAATCGTTAACAGATAATGTTATATGTTAACAGATAATGTTAAATCGTTAACATTAGAGCCATTTTAAAATTGATATTAACCATGAGTTGCTGCAGTTTTACCGTTAATAGTTTATTTTCGTTTCGAAAACATGTCGTTGAAATGAAACAAAATCATTTCTTTAAATTAATTTTTCATATTAACAAACAACAATGGCATCATTTCGTTAGGTGAGCACATCTGTTTCGATACCAAACGGTGTTTCAGGCTGCTTCAGCTTGATGTTGGACAAAATAATAACAGCTTCAGAGCTAAACAGACAAGCCACAGCCTTTTACAAGAGTGTACAACTGCTGAGTTATGTCGATGATATTGACAGTCATAACATCAAGATCGTACATCATTTCATTTATTTGAACACCAGCATTAACAACATTGACTATGTCAGCCAGGGAAACCAACATTAAATCAGTGTCGCGAACAGGTTATAATTTGCACTGAACAGCCATTTGAAAAGTAGCCCTGAAAATCAAAGTAGGTGATCACATCTTAACTTATCTTCTGCTCAACGGTCTGAATTAAATCACGAGAGGCACAACCCAGAGCACCCGAATCCTTTGATTATTGCCAATTCGAACGAAAAACAATATGTCAAACTCGTCAAAGATTTTTTATTTAATTGTTCATTATTGTTATTTTGTCGTTATGAGTCATTTTCGAGGTAAAAGGAAATCTAGTAACCATGTTGAGTGTTTGTCACTGAGTTTGGGTTCAACACGAGGGTAAAATTCTATTTCCAGCACTCGTCCTTAGACCGACTTCTACAAAACATCTGGATGATTTTAGTGTTCGAGTTAATAGAAACATTTCACAGTGGTTCTCAGACAATTGAAGAGTGTTATAAGGGGCGGTGGAGCTTACAAATGATGGAAGATTCTTGGAGTTTGCAACGAATTCTATCTTAAGTCGCCAATTCAAAAGCATCAAATTAAAAATCATTTGATTATGCTCAATACAAATTTTCTTGAATAATGTATCAATTTTCAACAAATTTTTTATCAAAATAATAAACCTCTAAACTTATTTCGAAGTGAAAAGCTGTTAGCAATCTTCCAGTATTTTTATTGTGGTCAGATTCATAGAAATAACGAATAACAGAACAAAGACTCAAAGAGACAATACGTGTGTTTGGCTCCACTTACTAGGAGACACAAACCCGAATTATGGCTTCATATTGTTAGATCGCTTTTTCTTATTAATAATGTAATTCGTTACATTCCACCAGGAAATGCTACTATAAGTATAGTTACTACTATGTCAGAGAGTGCGAAAATGTTGTATAAATATATGGCGTCTGTTTTTACATAACGCATACGCCACGTCAGACCTTTTACGAAATACCATTTTAATTATACATACATATGCATGTATGTATTTTTCGTTTTTCCTTCGTTGCCTGCCACACTTCGTTGCACAATCGGTCATAGGTGGCAAGTAAAATATTTTAAGATATTAAAAATATTGCAGTTATGCCGTTAAGGGCTTTTTGCATATATTTATTTTGCACACATAGATGCACACACAGACGCATATGAATGCAAATACATTTAATACATATTACACCGAGATAACTTTTCGCTTTTTTGGGGCAGAAGACAACCGCACGTGACATGGAATAAATTCAGTTTTTTCTGAAGGAAATTTTAATACAACAAAGAAAGGCATTACCTTCATTGTTTTGCATATATGTACTCGTATGCGAGTATGTACTATATTTACATACGTATATTTAAATGTATATGCATGTGAATGTGTATATATATATACATGAGCCACCGCAACAAGCCACATGCAGATAGTGGCAAATTAGTTGCGCTTACTGCAACTTTGTTGTCGTTCAAGTCACCAAAGGCATTCTGTGTGATAAGGCCACCAGCATCAGCAGCAACAGCAACTGTGACATTGTTGAGGTCGCAAGCGCAAAATAGTATTATTTAAGAGCCATAAATACAGTACAAAAAATTTACACTGGCGATCATAAATGGGTACTTGGAAAAACAGCATCGAAACGAATTTCACCCTCTGCAACAAATTTCTTTCAATTCGGTTGAAATATTTGGAAATGTTATCATTAAAGCAGTTATCACAATAAATTTTTCTTCGTTTTTACTCGCAACAAAAGGATTTTGTTGATGTTAAATCGTAAACAAATAATGTTAAACGGCTACAGATAATATCAAACGTTAACAGAAAATCTTAAGCGTTAACAGCTAATGTTAAATCGTTAACAAATACTGTTAAGCATTAACAGCTCCTGTTAAGTCGTTAACAGAAAATATTAAATCGTTAAAAAATAATGTTAAACGTTAACAGCTAATGTTAAATCGTTAACAGATAATGTTAACTCATTTACAAGTAATGTTAAAGGTTAACAGATAATGGTAAATCGTTAACAGATAATGTTAAATCGTTAACAAATAAAGTTAAGCATTAACAGCTCCTGTTAAGTCGTTAACAGAAAATGTTAAATCGTTAAAAAATAATGTTAAACGTTAACAGCTAACGTTAAATCGTTAACAGAAAATGTTAAAGATTAACAGTGTGCTGTTAATATCATTACAAGTAGCCGTTTCAAAATTAACGTAACAAATTCATCAGTACGGTTTCAATATTAACAATTCCATTTTATTGCGATAACATGACTCCGAAACGAATCATACTTCTTTCGTTTCGTGAGTTGAACATTGTTGTTGTTTAGCACAGTTGCCTTTTTTTTTTAAACACCGTTTTTATATGATAATATAACACAAGAAATATTTTAATTCTCTTGAAATAATTTAAAATTTTAAATATTTTAGAATGAGTTTTAACTCTTGATTGCTTTTCTTAAATAAAAGCATATCTTCTGTGTTTTTAAGTTTTCTTACCCATATTTAATACAAACATATGAGGCTTATTTAATTTAAATAAAATATTCAATTAGGAAATCATTACAGAAATTAAAGAAAATCCCTCTTCCTTTAGTATTGTTCACCAGTGTAGATCAAATATGTCCAAGTGTATGAAAGTTTGTAAGGACATGTGACTGCAAGGATGCTGTCGCTTGCTTGCATGCTTTTTTGTGTCAATTTGTGGTGGAGTACTTGCAAAATTGCTTAGTGTAATTTAAGGATAGGAAAAAAGAAAACAAAACTCACATACATACATAACTACTTACGTCTATGCAAAGTGCAAAAACAAAAACGACAAATGTGAAATTCTAATACGGAGATGTTTCTACAAGCACACTCGTATAAGCAAAGTAGAGAGCGCTTAAAATACCAACATCGGACAAAAAATAAATGGAGTATTATAATATATAAAACCACATAGTATTATAAATATTTACACTCACACGTACACACATATGTAGATATACTAATTCGCTTGTATTGACATAAATTCAATGAAAACACATTTAGCATTGCACCTACAAATATACATTCATTTCTAGTCATTAAAGCTTAATAAAGAAAAAGAATTACAAAAATAATAGATTTAACACATAAGTACAAACATGCAAATAAACTAATGAGTAATAACAACTTTTTACAGCTACAGCAGTATTAACTCCTGCGACCCCAGTGTTGCTTATAAGAAGCTTCTGTGTTGAGCATTAAGTTTTTGAGACAAAA